CCCTGAGGTCTGATCACTGGAAATGCAAGGACTAGAAGATCCTATATAAATAAGCAGTAAATGAGTCCGCTGGAATGTTTTTGAGTGTGATATGAAGAGCAATTATACTTATGAATATAGTAGCTACTTGGACCTTTACATTCATCAGGTTTCGAGCCCTGTGAAGTTGATAGATCACAGCGACGCTTTACAGTGACACATCTGGTAATGATGCATAATGCCATTTTTCATGCATGGAAAACTCGCTAGCGATAAAGGAATTCCTAATTTATTCAACACGGGCAATTCTCATTGGGCGCGTGGCGGTGCTTTGAGTGCTCCCATGGCGACCTGCTTCACAGTGTTACCAACATTTAGAGTTTCTATAAAAGAATGAGCAGATTATGTGTAATTGTTTAGGCTCTCTCATCATGCTCAGAGTGGACGTGTGTACAGTCCTGGTGAGATACACACTCTCACACACACACCGCCGACCTTCGTTTCCCTTGGGGAGTGGCAGGCAGCCATTTATCTTTTATTCATTCTGCCATTTCTGAGGCAGCTTTTCTGTCACTCTGGACTGTCAAAGTAGAGGCCATTCAGTGATGTGTGGGACTTAATGCTGCACACACATGTGCATATATGCGTATATCATATTTATTCCACACACACACACTTTTATTTTGTACCTAGTCAGGATGTGGGTTGCACATATGTCCAGTATCTATTATTACAAGTGTTATATATCATTACTGTGTCAAAACAAAGCCTTGTATTGCTAAACTTTGGCAACAGAAGGAAAAAAAAATTAATACAAGTTAAGGTGAAAATATTTTATTACCAGTAATTTTGGAGCATTTCTAATGGTCCATTTACCATGAACCTTTCACACAGCTGGCATTTTAAAATGTTGTCCAAACATGAACAGTGACAAAAATGGAGATACAGTTTTCTCAACAGTAAGGATTTGTAGATATATATACTTTCATATAATATTGTGTCAGTTTTGTGTAAGTACCTATGCATAATAATAATAATAATAATTGCTCATTATATGCAGTACTGTGCAAAAGCCAGAGATCACCCCTCATTTATTTCATTTCCATTAAGTACAAAAAAGAAAAGTACAAAAATTTTGAAAATATGCACGTAACAAAGAAAATCACAGAAGCCTAAACAACTAAATATAATACAATTTTCCTGTATTTATTGTGTTCACTCTTTGCTCAGCTCCTGTTCTTTCCAGGAGACTCACTTTCAGGTTTTCAGAGAAATCTGCAGGGATATTTTTCCACACCTCCAAAGTTCAGTCTTGGTTAGATTTTGTGCTTCTCACAATCCAAGTAATTCCAAACAAATTAAGGGATGTTGATGTCTGGACTCTGGGGTGGTCAGTCCATTGTTCTGAGGACACCAGCAGCTTCTTTGTTTGATTTGCAGCTTCTTGACAGCTACACATCCTTTCATTTCGCTGAGTTGTCTTCTCACAGTGGAAGGATGGACAGAAACACCTGTGGATGTTTTCAGATCTGAAGCAGCTTGATTTTCTCCTCTCTCTCAAAGACGAAAGTTTTAAGTGCTGTTTATCTGATGGTCTGATGGGGACAATTTTGGTGTCTAGCAGGAATTGTGGAGTTGCTGAAAGTCTCAGTAATGATTTTAACTCTGGTTTTGGAAACTTTTTTCACTTAGCTTTAAACTTTAACTTTACACTTAGAATTTTGCACACACACACACACACACACACACACACACACATATATATAAACACACAAAAAGCAGGTAAAGCATTAATGTGAAAATGAGCTCTGACTGTTTTGACATCTGTCAGTCCAGAAAACCCAGCTGCTACTCTTCTGTTCTTTCTGTCATTCTTCATACTTTTCATTCTGCTTCTCTGCTTTGGGCCCAGGAAATTAATGATCTAATGTCTAGATAGTGTCGGAAACAAAAACAAAAAAAATGTCTAACTCTAGGTAATGATGAAAATGTTGCATTTGCTTTAAAGCATCAGTTGACAAGATTGTTTCTTTAATGTGTGTATATATATATATATATATATATACACACACACATATATATATATATTTATATACATACTCAGTTGTAAGAATTGTTTCAAGTGCTTAACACCTTCATCGTGGCAGTTTTTCACATGCCATTACTAAGATGGCACAGTTCTTTGCCAACTGTCTGTGTGTGAAACATAGAGAGACGCTCTAGTTCATCAATGGCAGCACGCAGATGTTGTGTCCTTTTGTTCTTATGTGATGGGCACATTGATTGAAGTCAGTGTTTGCACTTGTGGGGAGAAACTTGACAAATAAAGTCATTTGTTATTCACATGGATCTAGAACACTCACCCTGTTGTTACTATATGGAAAAAATATTGTACTTCATATTCAGTCTTGCACTGTTATGAGTGACAATAACCCTACTTTAATGAGCGAATCACTGCTCAGATTTTGACAGTTGGGAGCATTTCAAGTAAACAGTTACAAGGAGTTTCTGCTAGCATTCCACTTCAACCCTCCTCCAGCGCCACAACACTGCCAATCAATTGAGTTTACGTGAGCTGCACGATCTATAGTACTGTCATGTTGCTGATCTTTGACTGATATTTTTTTATTGGTATGACAGTTTATAACAGTCAGTGGATGTTGCTATGCAGATATTCTAGGCTTTATGATAACTGTATATTATATAGAGTCTGTATATACATATATATAGTCTCTGATACATAAGACATATCATTTACATTACCACATTTGTGTTTAGAGGTGCTTACAATGGTTAATCAGGTTTTATTAATGCTTATATCATAAACAGAAGAAATATTGTACTGGAGAAGTAATGTTGGACCACATGAATATGTCATTCATGGCCTGCCTGGCTTCAAATCACTTGGCCTAGCCAAGCTGGCCACAGTATTAAAGCATAAGAGAACTTTCATAATAATGCTACTCTTTTTTGGGAGCTGTGAATAAGAATATAAGCAACATAACTGCTAAAATTATTCTTAATGCTGTAATAATGTGGCTGTCAGTAAAATGCTGTAATGAACTGCTTTTGACTAGTATGTGACATATACTGCATATTCCTCAGAATGTATTAAAAGCTCCATAAACATACTCATTTATACAGCTATAGATCATGAAATTGAGTTATAAAAAAATGGAGATATTCTGGTTTTGATTCACACTTTCTCCAGGCCAAAAAGAGGGCACAGCTCGAATGTGTCCAAAGAGTGGACACTGGACCAATTCCTGTTACATGAACTTTTGAATTAAATGTTTCACATTTCAGATATTGAGAGATTTTGACATCACATAAAAACACTTGACATTATACTATTAATTTATATGGGGAAAAATGAGGATAAAATTGGCGTAGGGTTTAGGGTTTTATTTATCTATCCATCAAATAATGTCCATTTGGCAGCTGTAGCTACCATAGCACAGGCTTCCTTTCTATTAACAGGTCTAGTATATCAAGGTAGCCCACCTTAACCCCCGAAAAAATGGGTGGCATGCTGGTTTTTTTTTAAAAAAAAAGGCTGATTTGTGTTTTTGGTGGCATATTTGTTTAATTAAAAATGAAGATATATTTCTGCTTACAGATCATTAGAAGTGCCAGATCCATTCCTGTTAGCACTTTTACTTAAACTAGCCCTTAGTTACTATTTAATGAATGAAGGATCACAATCAATTAAAGATCTTTCAGTGAACCTAAATTTCACATGCATAAAAAGTAGCCCTTGTATAGAAACTGGGCCTAAACTTTTCTGCTACTTCTGCAAACACTGTAGTTTCATGTCACTGCCAATGTCAACAGACCTCTGAAGTCATGCATCGTTCTGTAGTCGAAACGCCGCTGTTACATCCTGTGGCGGATAAAATTGCCCCAAAGTCAATATGTTCTGTCCTGTGTTGTTTAGCAATAAGAGTATGCACTGAAATGGTGGTGCATGAAAGTACATCTACTATTAAACTTCGACACTATTGTAAACCAACACCGGTTTAAACTGCCTAAAACTGGTGGGGTTGCCAGTCTTATAATGTACACTCTTAAAAGAGATGGTTCTTGAAGGGTTCTTTAGTAAAGACAATGGTTCTATATAGGACCATGAACACTCAAAGAACCATTTGCATGCTTAATTGGTTTTGCATGGTAAAACGGTTCTTCAGATTGATGAAGAATGTGTTGTATATGGCTGTATATAAAACCATTGTCTTTACTAAAGAACTCTTGAAGAATCATCTTCTATAAGAGTGCAAATTTAGTGCACAGCAGTTTTAGCTCACGTGTAGCAATAATTGTATTTAACAGCCATGAAATTTACAAGATCCAGCAGCGTTTGGAAGAACAGCAAAACATATGGGCTTTGGAACTTTATATCACCGCAGGTCATGACAGTGGTGACTTTCGGAGACACTATTATTTTTGTCATAAACAAGACCAGCTTGGACTTAAAGTCCCGAATATGGGCATGATGCCAACTACAGAATGACGATTCGATTTTAGAGCTCTGCAAGTTTTCTATTTGCTCTCACTGTTGAAGACACTGTGATATACAACAATTCACAAGTTCGGAAATAGTGTTGTCAATAATGTAAAACCAGTTTGGTTGCAGAACAATGTATAAAATCATTATAATTTGTTGTGAGGACTCTTCAACTTCAAACGTTTCAAGTAAATTTTGGAAGTTTTAGATGAGTCCAAAAAATTTAACGTTCCTGATGCCTCGTATTTAGTGGTGATCAATCATATAATTTGACAAGAAATGTATTTAGGATTTAAAAATGTCTTGTCATTCCCAAGAAACCATGAAATAATGCATAAAACAACTAGACAAATCTTTGTGTCTAGGTCAGGATACCACAATAATCCATTAGAACACTTTGTTTTGAAAGTGTTTAAGTTACTACTGAATAAAATAATAATAAAATAATTACGTAGATACCTATAGGGGACTTCACAGTATTCTTAACATCATTTCTTTTGGCATCTCCTCCCTACAGATGATAACTGTCGTCTTGGAGATTATAAGACACTGAAGACCAAAGTTCTGGACCTTCACGCTCAGCGGTATCTGGCACCAAGTAACCGGGACAGCTATGAGAAGAACATGGCATCCAGGAAGCGCGTAGCTGACCTGATGTTCAAACGTTTTGATGCTGACGGGAGTGGAAGAGTGGACAGCAGTGAGCTTTCACAGGTAGGAGATGCCAATTTTGTTTCGTTTATTTTATTTGAACTCTTAAAAGTGGCCATGGGAGTCCAGATCTCCTTTACATCAGCCAGTCTGAATTGCTTTCCATGTTGTTACTGAATAATAAGCCTTTGGATGATATAATGAGTCTGGGATATGAAGAGGTCAGAAACTAGCCATATTTATTGCTCATTTCCTGCGCAGAAAACTAATATATGGACAATCTATTACAATATACACTATATGGCCAGAAGTATGTGGACACTTCCTAATTATGGAATTCAGGTGTTTCAGTCACACTCGTTGCTAGCAGAGGTATAACATTAAGCAAAAATAGCCATTCAGTCTCCATAGACAAACATTGTCAATAGGATGGGTCATAATGAACAGCTTAATGACTTTAAATGTGGCACTGTCATAGGATGATACTTTTACCACAGATCCGTTAGTGAAATTACTGCCCTCCTACATCTACCGCAGTCAACTGTAAGCGCTATTATTGTGAAAAGAAAGCAACTAAAAGCAACAACAGCCCTGGGCCACTGAGTACTGAACCATGTAACGCATGAAAATTGCCTATTCTCTGTTGTGTCACTCACTACAGAGTTCCAAACTGCATCTGGAAGCAACATTCATGCAAGAACTGTCTTAGGAGCTTCATGAAATGGGTTTCCATGGCTGAGCAGCTGCGCACAAACCTAATATCACTATGTGCAATGCAAAGTGTTAGGTGGAGTGGTGTAAAGCACACCAGCTACTGGAATCTGGAGCAGTGGGAACATGGTCTCTGAAGCAATGAATCGTGCCTCACTCTCTGGCAGTCTAATGGATGAATCTAGGTTCTGCGGATGCCAGGAGAATGCTAGGAGAATGTACAATGTCAACAGTAAAGTTTGGTTGAGGAGGGATAATGGTCTGGGGCTCAGACTCTTAGTTCTAGTGAAGGGTAATGTTAATGCCAGAGCATACAAAGACAATTAAGAAAGTTACATGCTCTCAACTTTGTGGGAACAGTTTGGGGAAGACCCTTTCCTGTTCCTGTTTGACACCTTATACACAAAGTGAGGTCACTGTCTGACAGATTTGGTCTGGAGGGACTCCGGCGGCCTGCACAGAGCCCTCACCTCTTTGAACCTCATTGAACACTTTTCAAATTAACTCGATTGTTAATTGCAGCCCAGGCCTTCTCATTAAACGTCAGTTGATGCACGTTTCATTGAATGAGCACAATTTCCCACAGATACACTCTAAAATCTTGTGGAAAGCCTTTCTAGAAGAGTGGAGGCTGTTACAGACACAAAGAGGGTTTGTGGGGGACTCCATATTAATGCCCATGGTTTTAGAACAGGATGTACAACAAGCTAATATATATGTGATGGGCAGGTGTCCACATACTTTTGGCCATATAGTGCATTTTTACTCATATTTTTGATTGTACTGACAACAGATGGCACAGCAATATATTTCAATTTGTATTCAAGGTACATGAAATGTGATCCTAGACTTGCATTTGTACCTTAAGACACTACATGATCCAGAAGAGGACAGATCCCTTTATAACCTTCAGTCAGCTTGAACGGAGCATGAAGGTGACATGTTGTCCCTTTGTGTACTGGTTGCTGAGCATGTCATATTTACAGCCTTTTTGAGTGGAGGTGACGGGCTAGCGAGTACCAAGCGGCTTTCCTGGCCCTTCACTGTGAAAGGGTCAGAGCCGTGAGCTCCCTGGACTACGTTAAACGACTGCAAAAATAGACTGTGAAGCAAACCGGCTGTGCTAACTTCTATAAGCCAGCGTCAAGAACAGTTTTGGCCATCTGAGTTGCGGCCCACTGCAATATAAATGCTCTGGAGAAAAAGAAAGATATGAATGAAAATGAAGTTCAAACGCACTCCTGGCGTCCTGCTGTTTCTTGAAAAATGATGAGCGTTCTGAAGTGTGTTTGAAGCTCATTTTAGATATCAGATCAACCGGCCACTGCGAAATAAAGTCTTTGAAAATGTATGTCCCAGCAAGAAAGTTCTAGCTGGAATGTTTATCATTTATCAACTACAGGGATGCATTTTTGCTGCATTCCTTTGAAATATTGTGCGAGTAAGCAAGACTCTGTGGGTCCAAACTGTTCTGGACTTTATCCTGAGGCAGGGCCTTTGCACCTGCACACAGAGGCACAGCGCTGCATTAAATAGTTCATATTCATCTGCAAAGACTGCTCTCAAAGCACATCTGTCAAAGCATGTCTCTTTCTCTCTCTCTCTCCTCTCTGTTTGTTAGCATTAGCGTTAACTACATTAATACGTTAATTCAGTGCACAGTGTTTTCCTGTTATTTGCATCCTCCATATTGTTATGCATGTCAATTTGCATTCTCCACACTGGTGTGCTTGAAAAAGGTGATAAGGTGGCTTTCATTTAAGTACAGAGAGGGAACAAATCTTTAGAAGAGGAAACCAAAGGTGTGCTCTGCATGCAGAACTTTGGCTTTTTGTTGCGAGTCTGCTCAGAGACCCTCTCCCAGGGGAAGATGGCAATCCTTGGCGTAAAACACGTAATGGGTTGCGAGCAGAAAGATTAGGGGCTCAGCTGCTTGGATGGGAGAAAATGGAGGAAATACATGAACAAACTGCCATTTCGAAGATGGTCTTAATTATTCGGTCGTAGCTAAGACTGGTTTTCAGAGAGGACTTTACTCCTGTTACACCAACTAAAGCTACACCTAGGCGCAACTAAGACTAGTCTTAGCGGTGCAAGGTCATGTGAATACATACACCGATCAGGCATAACATTATGACTACCTCCTTGTTTCTACGCTCATTGTCCATTTTATCAGCTCCACTTACTATATAGGTGCACTTTGTAGTTCTACAGTTACAGACTGTAGTCCATCTGTTTCTCTGCGTATTTTGTTAGCCCCCTTTTACCCTGTTCTCCAGTGGTCAAGAACCCCATGGATCCTCACAGAGCAGGTACGATTTGGCTGGTGGATCATTCTCAGCACTGCGGTGACACTGACGTGGTGGTGGTGTGTTGTGCTGGTACAAGTGGATCAGACACAGCAGTGCTGCTGGAGTTTTTAAACACTGTGTCCACTCACTGTCCACTCTATTAGACACTCCCACCTTGTTAGTCCACTTTGTAGATGTAAAGTCAGAGACGATAGCTCATCTGCTGCTGCATAGTTTGTGTTGGTCATCCTCTAGTCCTTCATCAGTGGTCACAGGACGCTGCCCACAGGACGCTGTTGACTGGATATTTTTGGTTGGTGGACTATTGTCAGTCCAGCAGTGACACTGAGGTGTTTAAAACCTCCAGCAGCACTGCTGTGTCTGATCCACTCAGACCAGCACAACACACCCTAACACACCACCACCACGTCAGTGTTACAGCAGTGCTGAGAATGACCCACCACCCAAATAGTACCTGCTCTGTGAGGGTCTATGGGGGTCCTGACCACTGAAGAACAGGGTAAAAGGGGGCTAACAAAGTATGCAGAGAAACAGATGGACTACAGTCTGTAATTGTAGAACTACAAAGTGCACCTATATAGTAAGTGGAGCTGATAAAATGGAGAATCAGCGTAGAAACAAGGAGGTGGTCATAATGTTATGCCTGATCGGTATATATAACAATGATGGTTGCTAAGCAGCCTGGGTTGCTAAGAAAAACTGCTGTACACTGGCAGCTTGCTAGCTGATGCTACAAAACTAAAAAAAGCAGAAGTAATTTCACCAACAGTGAAACTTTCACATTGATTTCATTATAGAGTCTGATTGAAGTCATATTGATGGATAAAAAGTTAAAAGTTCAAAAAGACATAAACATAGGTGGGTCAAGAGGAGTGCACCCAGCAGGTTTCTTCAGCCTTTTAAGCAGCGATTGTTCAAAGATGCATTTTGGGGTTGGTGACCCCCTCTCTTGACCCCTGGAACACACCACAGCTATGCACATTTCTCTGTGGGGGAATGTGGATATTCTCTCAATTTTACCAAACATACAGAAGAAAAAAGGCCTAGAGTTTGACTTTATGACTGCTCCCAGCTAGGTATGCCTAGTTTTAGTGAAATTTCAGCTTATGACCAGTTGGTGAGTTTTAAAGCCCAGAATGTTTTGACTGACATAGCTTATGACCAGGCATAAGCTGTGTTGATGCAACATAGGTCTATCTTTAACATGTTTTCTGTTGCAGGCCCATTTTTTTTTATATGCCACAGTTTGTATAAAGCAAAAAAAAAGATTTTTGGTGGTAAAAGATATACTATGCACTATACTATACTGGACAAAAGTATTGGGACAGTTACACATTACACCCACAGGAGCTTTTATGACATCCCATTCTCCTAATAATATGGGCAATAATATGGAGTTGGTCCTTCTTTTGCAGCTATAACAGCTTCCACTCTTCTGGGAAGCTTTTTACAAGATTTTGTAGTGTCTCTGGGAGAATTTTTGCCCATTCATCCAGAAGAGCATTTGTGAGGTCAGACACTGATGTTGGACAAGAGCACCTGGCTCACAGTCCCTGTTCAAGTTCATCCCAAAGGTGTTTGATGGGGTTGAGGTCAGGGCTCTGTGAGGGCCAGTCAAGTTCCTCCACACCAAACTCACCCAATCATGCCTTTATGGGCCTGGGGCTCAGTCATGCTGGAACAGTAAAAAGGGTCTTCCTCTAACTGTTCCTACAAAGTTGGAAGCATACAGTTGTCCAAAATGTCTTGTTCTGCTGAAGCATTAAGATTTCCCCTCACTGGAACTAAGGGTTCTAGACCAACTCCTGAAAACAACCCCATATCATTATCCCTCCTCTACCAAACTTTACGGTTGGTACAATGCAGTCAGGCAGGTTATGTTTTCTTGGCAGGCTTGTTAATCAGACTGCCAGATAGAGTAGTGTGATTCTTCACTCCACAGAATGTTTCCACTGCTCCAGAGTCCAGTGATGGTGTGCTTTACATCCCTTCCACAGTGCAGGTATGCAGGTTTAAACGACTGTAGTTTGTAACCATCGTCATTTTAATGTATTACAAGCAATGACTTCATCAATACTGTTTTTCTAAAATCACTAACATTAATGCCTCAGTGCTACACCAGAGACATTTTTGCTATTCTTGAAGGGAATTGTAGCAATACATTGTAAATGACATCAAGGCTGGATGCGATTGGCTTATGACTTATGAGATTTGATTGGAAGTTGAGCATAAAGTGAAATCTATGTCTAGTTTCTCCTATAGCTATTATCTCCAAATGAAGAGAACCCCCAGTGGTGATTTTTTCAGAAGTGGCCAGCCTACCAAAATAATATAACTCCACATAAATGCAAAAGTAAATGAATTTGGAGCAAAACATATCGCTGCTGTCAGAAGAAAACCATGTACCTGTATTTTTGTCATTTTTCAGTTTTTGACATAGTTTGAAAATGCCTGTTGCCCTTTACATTGTGTGTAAATTTCATGAGGAATGGGCCAAAAGAAACTGCCAAAAACGACTTGGAAAAAAGTCTGGTTCCATTGACTTACATTAAAAGTAAAGTATGTTTTTTCCTTCTCCTGTAAAGTTACCATTCTGGAGATACAAGGTTTTCTTCCAGCAACAGTGATATGTAGACTATAAACCAACATCAGTAATGCATCATAGGTTGGTTTTGTAGATTAGAATTAGGCCTATTCTTGTCAACAGCAATGCCAATAGTGTTTTACCATGAAATATCTCATGTAGTCTAGGCTTAGGCATAATCTAGGTCTGGGAATCCAACCCTACATGTCCAAGAGTTTGTAGACAGCTACTCATTCTATGATTTTTTCTGAATCCAAGGGAGTTTATCCTCCCTTTGCAGCAGTAACAGCTTCTACCCTTATGAGAAGGATTTCCACAGGTTCCCAACTCTGGTCTTGAAGTACTGCACATTCTTGCGTTTTCCCAGTTTACAACACATCACTGAAAGGCTTGTTAATGAGCTAACTAGTTGGATCAGGTGTATTAGGAGCAGGAGATGCACTAGATGTGCTGGGCAGCAGGTACTCCAGGACCAGGGTTGGGACCACTGCATGAGCTGGATGATTACTTCTGGATCACAAACCCATCACAAAGGTATTGGATGGAGCTCCATCACTCTAGAGAATCCAGTTTCACTGCTCACCAGCCCAATGCTGGGAGGCGTTATACCCCTCTAGCTGACAGTTGGTATTGGGCATGGTGACCTTGGCGTAGCTGCTTCAGTGTCCAATTCTATCGGTCAGTACTTTTCTATGGAGATCATTCAAGCTGTCTCTGTGCTTGAACATGTCAGCATAGGTGAATTAGAGGGAATGTCCACATACCTTTGGGCAAACAGTGATAAAATCGCTCTTTTCACAAATCTCCATTTAGTAAAATTTGAGTGATGTTGCAAGATGTATGTGTTCCCTTATCACTTTACAAATACATGCTTGAAAAAGCGAGACAGATCAAGACTAATGGACTTCTCTGCCTGTTACTGTCCCTCAGGTCATTAAGCAAGAGGGTTTGAGCAAGACAGCATCGGAGTGCACTCTGTTCGACTTGCTGAAGTATAACGATGCCAATGATGATGAGCATCTGACTAAGGATGAGTTCTATGCTGCCTTCGGTAAGTACAGTCTTTAAAATGTGAAATGATGCCACACAACACATAAAAATAAACCGAAACAAAACCAAAAAAGGACGATTGACACCTTTGCCACATCAGCACTGATTGCATAGAGCCTCTGTTGATGCTCAAGGCATATCTCAGAGAACTCAGCCATCCCGAAGGGATCCATTCTATTTCTCAAACCTGCCTGACAGATATAACTCATAAGAGGCAAAACTTTGAAATCCAAGCTCTTGTTTCCTTTGCTTCTTTGTTAAACTTTGAGGCAATGTGCCTGAGGTATTGAGCTGCATCTATGGGATAGGTTTGGTCCATAGAGGTCCAGGTTTGTTATAAAACTACATCTCCCTCTAAATGAGTAATGAGACATTTCTGCAGGGTTAGTGGCCTTGGCAATGGACTGAAGCAGAAGCAGTTCCTGCTCTAAACTCACTTCTTGCTAGAGCCATAAAGGTGAAGAAAACCTTGTTAAGCTTTAATTGGAGCTTGTACTGATATCTCTGCTTAGGTCATTGAATAGTAACAGCATAAATAAGTCTATTGCCAAGATGTTGTTCTTATCTCCTTTCTCATTAAGGGATATGCAGTAAAAGGTGAGGCCTAATAATTACCTCTGTGACCCAGGATTCAGTTAGTACCTGTCATGCTGCTTCTCTGTAAACACAATGGTGTAGTGAAGTGAAGCTAATGTGGAGGGCATTTTGGTTTTGCCTGTGGTTATTATTCTACTCTATCTGTGAGTAACTGGGCTTTTTAATATGGTTTTCCCCTGTGTGTCTTACAATGGTAAATTGTTCGGAATTTGCACAAACAGAATTGAATGGAAATGTACACATTGTTAAGGTTACAATTAGGGGCAGGTTGTAGTAGTTTTTACATCAGTTGCATGATGTCCAGCCAAATCTGGCTCATTATAAATAATTTGCAAGACCAAAGTGAACTTGAGATTACCTTTGAGGTCCAATGCTCACACAAGTGTCCAATTGCAAAAACAACATATTACAATCTCTGTATAAAAGCATTGGCAAATAAATAGGATGCTCTAGAGTAGCCATACATAAGCCTAAGGTCACTCTACCCAATGTAAAGCATCGGTTAGAGATCCATGAAGCTCCCCAGCATTGGACTTTGGAGCAGTGAAATTGTGGTCTCTGGAGTGAAGTTCCTGCTTTAAGTGGTTTGTTAAAGGCTGAAATAGCAGAACATATCACATGTGCAGCAACAGACAGAATTAGATATTCTATAGGAATACAGTGTTAGAGGCTTACTATGCCTCCCTGAGCCAGGCTTGAACTAGAGGACTGCACAGGAGTGTTTTTTCAATCCCGCTCCCACAAGATTTCATCCCGTGTGTTCCTCTATATGCGTGCTTCGTTCTGCTCCCAACACTGAAAATTAGTTCCACGCCATAAGGTACTGTGGTTTGTCCTGCGGATCCAATGGGAGTCTCGCAGGAGTGCAGACCTCTAGCTTAAACCCCAGTCTGCTGTCAGTAGATATAACTTAACCACTCTACTATATAGCCAACAACTACCTCTATACTGTCACAACAAACCTGTGTCACTATAAGGAGCCTTTTTTGGAAATAACTATATATGTTTTCAGTTTATAGGGCTATAACTTATAACTATAACTATAATAAATAGTTAGCTTTTAGGGTATACATAATTAATTTTTGCTACATTGTCAATGTCTGAACAAAACTTTTTATCCTCAATTTTTTTTTTATTTTACAGTGACATTATTTGAAAATAGCTGCTCTTTACTTTGTCTAAAACTCTTATGATGTATGGATCAGTAGTCTGAAATTACTTTGAATATATATATATTTTTTTACACTGTACTTTTTGTCTGATAGATAGATAGATAGATAGATAGATAGATAGATAGATAGATAGATATGCAGCTGTGATGTATTTTATTCCTTTTATATCTTGCACTTTGCACAATTTTGAATTGTTCTTTTGTAGTTTTCTGTTGTTTGCTATGTAAAAAGAGAGGTTGCTTCACAGCCAGTTCTGACACACTAATTTAATCATAATGTCATTTTTTGCCATTGTAAATATACAACACCTTTATCAAACAACATATTTTATGTCCATATCGTACATCCATGTCTAAAACTACACTCTAATAAAAGCCTGAATAGTTGTGCATTGTGGTCAGATTTTTAGCTGACAGTCAGTCTTGCTGATCTAGCTGTTGATAGAGTGAGCTAACAATGACGTTTTGGATTCTGGTGAAGTAGAACTGAAGTGAATAATTTAAATTGCAAACTTTGGCTCCTTGGCTGTAAGGTGATTCTGGGTGATTCCTCACAAAGACCTTTGTCATTTTTCAGAGAATAAAAAACAAATATTGAGAGATGAGAGTGTAAAGCCTCTGAGGGCTGAATGAAGAATAGGGCCTGGTGAATCCCCCTCCACTTCCCTTCTATCGCTCTCTCTCTCTCACTCTTTTTCTGTCTCTCTCGTCCTTACATTGTCTGATCTATCTCTCTCTCCTCATTTTCCTTTTCAGTCTCATCCGCTTCTGGCATTTGAAATTCATTCAATATCCACTGACATTCTGCAAGGGCCGAGACATTCTAATAAGGGTATGAAAAGGTGCGGCGCAGGAAAGAAGAGAAAAGAGAGATGAAATGCATAATGAAGCAATGTTGCTTCTTACTGTAACTCATTAGTCTTTTAGGGAAAAATCTGGAGAAAAAGTATGAGTTTGGGGATGAATTGAATCCCACAAGTTTGCCGCTCTTGCAAGAAGTAGGAGTGTGTGTGTGTGTGTGTGTGTGTGTGTGGTGGGGAAATGGCCCTTCAGGCGAGGTACATCAAACGGGCCAAGCAGCAGTTCCTCCCTCCTTGAAGAGTCACTGTTCTGTTCTGTTCTTCCTATATTTCCGAGCTATTTTTCACTCTTCTGCCAAAGCTTGGACTTTAAAATGAAAAGACTTTGTGTCAACAGGTCCACTCAGTGAAGAGCTATTCTCCTCTCTTCCTCCTCCTCCCCCTGTTCCTCCACCCCCCCAGCAGTTCTATCTCTGGTGTAAAATAAAGAACATCCTTCGCACAATTGGAGGAGTTTTCTGAGAAGAAGCACATCCGAGCAGCTTATAAATAACCTTAATCTAAATGTCTAGCTATAGAATCTCAACATGTAAAAAAAACAAAAAAGTAATACTGCGACATTTAAAGACTTCACGATACATAATTTGTATCACAAGATTTCTAACAAGCTGGAACACACACAATGTAAAATACACTCACTACTTTATTAGATACTCCTACACTGTATCTACACTTTAGATTCCCCTTGCTGTGTTAACCCCTTAAAATCCCAGGCTTATTATATATATAAAGCACGGCTCCAAACTGCGACTAAAATGTTCACAATTCACAATTATTAATTATTACTTTTGTTGTTTTTATGTATTTTCATCTTAAAGCATAACTAATAGGCTTGTGTGCTCGTGGGATTTCAATCAGAGTGAAAGCAGATCAGCTAAACTGGGATTATTGCAGTGAAAAATCACGAAGCAAACAATATCAGATTTTTTTACACAGTTCAAATCTCTGTCAGACCTTAAGAGGTCATCTGCTCGACCCCTGTCTGACTCAGGACCAGCGAATTACGGAAAGAACCACAGGAAGATACAAAATGTTATGCAAAAGTATAACCACAGACAGATTTCAGAACTTCTTGGCTTCAGGAATTTATGTGTCTCAGGTATGGTAACATAAAGCCTATACTGCATATTCTGTTCCAAAGCAAGCAAAGATATAGCTGGAAAAATAGATTTCTTAACAGGAACGAATTATTTCAAAAAAGAGACGAACATGGCAAGAGTCGAACGCATAAAAATGCATGCATGTTATTGTCCAAAGAGGGCCCCTACCGTGCTGTGTCTCATGCACGTGAAAAAACAGCTGAAAAAGGATTCAAGGAGCTTAAAATTAAATTCAACACAGCCTACATGACAGCAGTAGAGAACTACCCTTCACCAAATTCATCTCCCAAATCTTGTTAATGAAAAAAGCAGACTGAATGTGTTGAAGATGTATGATAATATATATGACGATGGTCAGGCACGGTGGAAGGCAGAGATAATTTAATCAAAAGTGTGTTGAAAAGTTTATTTATTTCTATTTACCTTTTTATTTATTATTATTTGACACTCAAAAAAGTTATTGGCACCTGACTTTTTTCTATTAGGAGTCAGTGGCAAATTTTTTGTCTGGAGCCTTGTAAAGGCTTATTATTCAGTAACTACAGGGACTTCAATGCAAATGGGATTAACTATTCTTAGGGTTTAGAAGTGTATAATAACACTATGGTCCTGCCAGTGGGCTCTGGCCATTTAAGGGGTTGAACAGTGCTGTGCAAAAGTGAGAGCTCACCCTTGATTTCCAGTCAAAATGGCAATTAAGGACAAGTTATTCACTTTTTAGATGTTTCAGAGGATATTAGATGTAAGATAATCCACTTGAAAAAAGGGGGAATGTCGAAGGAAAATAAGTGAAAAAAACAGAGTTTCTAAAGCTTAGAAAAAGGTGCAGGGAAAATAGGATAAACAGTATTTAAGCTTTCATCTTTGAGAGAGAGGAGAAAATCAAGCTCCACTCTTACCTCAGATCTGAAAACGACTCAGCGCTATGAGTCTGAAAGGATGTGTAGCCATCGAGAAGCCCTCACTGAGAAAAAGAATGAGACAAAAAGAAGAAAATTTGCACTAGAACAGCAAAACTGTGGAGTAAAGTTTTATTGACTGATGAAGGTAAATTTGTGATTGGAATTAGTTGGATTGTATTAACCAAAAACCAACTTCTTGGGAATATGAAAACATATCCCTCCTTTTTTGTTGTTGTTTTTGGTCCTGTACTGAAAGCAAGTCACCAAAAAAGGATGGAAGCTGTAATAAAGATGTAATAAAGGCAAAATAGTGGACACTACTAAATACTGAAAAAAAAGATATTATATTTAGTTTTTCAAGCCAGATTGCT